GCGGGGGAACCGGCCGATGGTTCGGCTGCCATATGCTGGGTGACTCAAGTGGGCGTCTTGAGTGGCCTCAGCGGGCGCTGGCTGAGGAGCACGAGCTGCACCATCCTGCCCTTGGCTGTAGGGGGACAGCCCTGGCTTGTGGGATGGGCAGTGGCATCCCTGTCTGGCAAGAGCAGTTTTGGAAGGCCTCTTGTTTGTGAGGCAGCCCTAGTTTGCCCTCCTCTGAAGAGGCTTCAACAGCATGTGCTTGCTGGGTGTTCTGAATCCAGGCGTATGGCTTCGTTAGGGAGAAGGCTACAGGAAATGTTTGGGTCGAAGTTGGCAGTTCTTGCCGAGCACTGATAATGTCCTTTGGGAATGCACGGTTTCCAAACGTGGAGTTTGTTGGTTTGTGGGAAGGAAGCAGTAAAAACCTCTTTTAACAATTCACTTTCCTTCAAGTTGCTGACTAAAGAAGAAAAGATGGTGTATACGGAGAAGGCTCAAAAGTGGAATGAAAAGAAATGTTCTCGGAAGACAGTGAAGGAGGTAAATGCTGAGACAAGAGCACCCTTCAGCATAACTAAGTAAGAGGGGGGAATACATGGTGGTGGAGTTTGGCCATCTCTGACGCTATGGAAGATCACCAGCTCTCCTTAGCCTCCAACCTCTGGAGGTTATGGCTGTTGTGGTAGTCCATACCGTTACGAAGGTTAAGCAGAAAATTGTTCTGATTTGAATTGAAGGCGAGAATATACCATTTTAAACCAGCATGACTTGTTCCTTTCGGCTCTCTTACCAAGTAACATGTAGTTCTCTGACAACTTTGGTTTACAGCTGACGCTATTTTGCAGTGACTGACTTAGAATGGTTTTTTTATTTATAATACTGTAATTTGGTATGACGTGGTTATGGGTTGATGTTGCTCTTGCCTTGTGGACCTCCTTCATTTAGGTGGTTCTTGTCTGATGGCCTGAAGCCACATCTTAGACGAGGCTGATTTGGCCTTCTCCAGTGACTGCGTGGTGGCCCAGGTCAATGAAATCTTGCAACGTACACACAAAAAGAATGATTAAACCTTACCATTATCTTTAGATGGGTTTGATTATGGAGAGAATAGTAATGCTGTGGTAGAAGACAACTCCACAATGTAGAAGTAAGCAGTTAAGCTGAATGTGGGTGTGGTCAGAAATAGTGCTAAAAGGATCCTTTGTATGATTTGCTGTCCTGAAAATGGGGGTGTGTGTGTGTTCCTTGTGTTTTGTTTTGGTTTGTTTTTTCCCTTCTGTCTGTCTCTTTTTCAGTTTCCCAAAGCATAGTTTGCCTCAGAGTTCGAATTATGTGAGATGTCAGAAAGATGATTTTATTCCAGTCTTGACTGGCAGTGTAAAAACTTCTGTGTCAAAGCAAAGAGCCTGGTTGAATAAATGGATAATGCTGCATTTACTTTTTCATCCCATATTACTAGATACTGTGAACTGCGAATTACTAGTGAGGGTAAATTGTAGGACTTTGAAACACTTAGATGATGGTAGAGAGAATGACAGGATGATCGTAGCTTCGAGAAACTACTAAATCTAAGTTAGTTCATTAAGTCAATCTAGTCAAGTAGAGACATGTTAGACAGTATTTTCTAATTTTGGGGCCCTGCCTGTATGGGAAAGAGCTGTTTAAAATGTCAGCATCGTGTTATTTAGCAGGCTAGGGGTATGTAATTAATGAAGCTCCAGTTTCATATATAATGGGGAGCTACATGAAATGATAACTACGTCATAAATGGAGGCTTCAGTATGTATTTCCACAAGCAGTAGCATTTTAGAAAGCTGTAATCAGGAAAAGATATAATTGCTTTGCCAAAATAAAGAGCATCATCCTCATTGCCTGTCAGTGGAAGTAGGGAAGTGTATTTGTGAGAGATTATATGTGATCTCAATTTAGTAATCTCACCCCTGTACGCAGACAAACAGTTATTTTGTGTAGTGAAAGGTCTTGGTCATCTTTTGGAGATGACCTGAGGTTACTGGGATGGGACTAATGCCTCCTATTATTTTAAATAGTTCAAACTGGTAATCACAGAACACTGGTTGGGATGGTCGCCAGAATTAGTGTACCTAGATGTGGTTATTCTGAAATTGGGTCTTGAATGATTGAATTCTGTAAGCCTGCCAGGTTTCACTTCCTGTCCTTTTAAGAGTTTATTGTTCATGCATGGATTTGCAGTGTTTAATGGGCATACGTGCCTGTCTTACTTGCTGTGTGCCAGAGCAATCTGATGACTTCTTGAGGCTTTCTCAGCTTTTCATGAATTCCATTCCTAGTTGAAGGCAGCTAACACATGTGCTGAACTTAATGAAGTTAATGGAAAAAACCTCTAATTTGGGAAGTTAGACAAAGCCTGGGACAAGTGGTGGAACCTAACAAAATAGGGGTGTGTTTTATTTTTTTAAAATTACATTTCTTAAATTTCGCTGTAGTGAGTTGACCAAGGTACTACGATACCTTTCTCTTTGTTAGAAGAGACATCTTGCCTTCCCGGTCTGCAGGTACGCAGGTGCTTGTATGTAAACTGCCAGCTTGTTCCACGTAACCATAACTGTTTGTGGATGTCTCACGTTCCTCTCGTAGAAGGAGGTGGGAGACTTTATTGGGGGTTAGTTGTCTATCTTGATTTTTTTTTTTTTTTTTTGACTTTCTCATCTTTTCCAGACTTGCAATCTGACTCATCCGGTTCCTGCTTGTCTGACCACAATGCCCCAAGTGACTTTACTTCCAGATGCCTCTGCTATGTCTTGGAAGACTGATCAGGGTATAGTAACCTTAAAGCAGTTGATCCTGGTAGATAAAAGTTTGCCCTTTGTAGATACTCTCAATGGTACCTGTACAAAGGCTGCTTATAGTTTTGCTTATAGCCACCTGGGTCAACTGTTTATTTGTTCTAAATTAATGCTCTACTGCTGTGAAACGGTCTTTTGTAGCGCAGAGGGAAGTCAGTGCAAATGTGTCATCCTATCCCTGCGCCTCCCTCCCCCCTGTCCCCTGCCATAATTCTATCTTCTGTTCTTTAGCTTGATGGGAGTATAGCTACAAATAGTTTCCTTACGATTATTTCAAGGTTTCTGAGACAAAGGTAACTCTTCAACTCCTATGTTTGTGATCTACAAGGCCTAATTCAAGTTCAGCATAAAAGAATACTTGTACTAATTTTAAAGGGTGAAGAGTTGTTAGATATCGGAGTTCAAAATTTGTATGGAAGAGGTGATAAATAAAACTGTGACCTGGCCTCTTTGGGAGAATAAAACCAGAGATACGTACTCTGTCAGTGCTTGTGTAACGTTCTGCCTTGCTTCCTTATTGAAAGAACTCTTGGAAACTGAACCTTTTCTTTTCTGTACACCCTCTTCAAATAGATGTTTTAACTAGAATTGAGTAACAAACACATCTGTAATCTTTTCCTCTACAAATATTACATTAATCTGAAAAATGGTGAATGGTAGTGCTCACAGGATAAACCAAGCAGCCAGTTCATGTAAGCTGTATCTGCTGTGTGGTTACGTCTCAGCACAAGCTTTTTACCTAACAAGTCTCCTGAACTATTTTCATGTTGTCATGGTTATGGAGGGGCAGGGAAGAGCAGCTCCATAAAAAGTGTGTTGCCTGTGAGCGTCCGCCCTGCCAGAGGCTGTGCTTCTCTGTCGGCGTGATGCAAATTTGGTCAGGTTGGTCATGGTGGCTTGAGCTGACACAATTGATCTTCACACTGAATGAGAGGGGTGATAAGGAATAACTGAGATGCCTTTTTATGATATCTCTCAGTAAAAGTCCTGTATGGTTCCCTGTAGCTGTATCTACTTATTCATAAGGACACCAGTTCAGACTCGGATAGGAGGGGTATCTTTCCTATGACCCTACAGCTTGTAGAGTTCAAGAGCCACGTAAGAGAGCACCAGCATTCAAGCTTAGGACTGACGATGTTACATGCCATCAGGTCTGGCTTAAGGCATTGTTTCTGTGTACAACCGGTTACATGTCTGTTATTGAGTAGAACAAGTAAGATTTTTTTTGACGAGGGGCAGAACTTAATGGTAAGGATTAAATAGCCACTATAAACTTCAGTGAGAACGTAACGTGACATTCATGAAGAGATGGATTAAGGTGTGTTGAGAAATATTTTTCATAGTTGGGTGCTTTTAAGATTAGTAAATGATAAATTAACTTAACATTAACATTTCTTAACATTTGCCTTGAGTATTCTTGCCTTCTCTTCTGCTAAACGAGCTCCCAAAGAAGTGATGCTTTTAATTAGCAGACTTCTCAACTTCTCTTACCCCAGAAGATTATTGCCAGCTCACTTAACTCATGTAAGTTACTGAATTGAGCTTGTCAGGCTGCTTTGCAGTTACTGATTTTTTTTCTAACCTTATTTTCCTTAAGGGTGAAGAGACCTATCATAAAAGGGAATAGTAGTTCCTGTGGATTCCAGGCTTCTTAACGTTCTTGTGTTGGTGGTTTGAGTTTTTTTTATAATTGCTTTTATTTTGTGGGGTGTTTTTTTTTTGTCCTGATCTCTACACACTGTAGCATCTATGGAGGGTGTACCAGGACTGCCAATATGCCTGACTCTTGCATAAGTATGAGTTGTCTTGTCATCTCAGGTACAGAGATTTTATTTGGTCATTATCCTGCTTTACTCACTCACATGATCAAGTGCACCAGAGCTTTCCCTGGATGACGTGAGGCCAGGATGGCTTGCTGAAGCCTCCGGTGGCTCTTGCGACAATATTCGCTTTTGGTTTTTACTTTCAGATGTGGTTGCAGACATCTTCTACTTCCTGAACATTTACAGCCATGGCAGGCTGCCCTCCCACTGTGAACAGCGCTTCCTTCCTTGCGAGATTGGGTGTGTCAGGTACTCCCTACAGGATGGCATTATGGCTGATTTCCATCACTTCATAGATCCAGGTGAGTTCCAAGGAAGGGAGATGAGAAGTAGTTTGTCTTGCTTTGGGATGAGAGAGAGGCTTTCTGGTGTCACTTACTGCTGCCCAGATTAGATTTGTAGTATTAAGACAGATTTATTTCTTTGACCTTAAGTGGTTGGACTTCTTAAAATATTGGAGCAGTGCTGATTGTTTCCGAAGAGACGGACTTCAGTGTCAGAGGCGCTTGAAGCTTCAATGAGGGTAGCATAAGTCCAGGAGGACCTTCAGATGGTTGTGCTTTGTATTTCATGGTGATGAATGTTTGTGTTGATTGGACCTAAATGCATGCACTATACAATATACTTTTATTTTCAGTTATGCACATTTTAAAAAACACTTTTTTTTTAAATAGTTGTGGCACTTTGTCATGGTTTAATCCCAGCCAGCAACTAAGCACCACACAGCCACTCATTGACCTCCACCTCTCCCTCTCCAGTGGAGGAGGAGAATCAGAGGTGCAAAAAGAGGGAAAAAGAGACCCTGGAGCTCCACATGTGATTTGAGTGGTAATAGTGGTGGAGGAAGATTGCAGAACTGAAAGCAAAACCCATCTAGGACAAGTGTGCTATTTTGGGAAGACATCAAGAAGGAAGCGTTAAGAGCAGGCACATGATAGGGATTTCATTAGTGTGCTGTATGAAGAGTGTTTTGACAGCCTTATATAAACAAAGATTTATTAGCAGGGTCCATAGATGATGTCGCACATCAGCTGTAGCAAGGAAAGTTACCTTAGTGCGAAATAAACAAAGGAATTGGGGGAGAGAGAGAGAAAAGGAAAATGCAAAACTCTTTCTGGTGGCCAGCCAGAAGGAGTATTCTCTTCCTGAGGCTCTCTCTAGTGCAATAGGTGGCGATGAGGAAGATGATGAGGATTACTTTTTGCCTGTATTTCCTAGTTTGTACCCTTTTCTTTGGGATCTACTCAAAGAGCCTATATGTTATTGTTGACTGGAATGTTAAATAAGAGCAGTTGTTGCACAGGCATTGATTGTAAAGCTTCTGAGCATGTATACTATTGGATAATATTTATTAAATATGTACATGACCATTACCTGCTCTGCTGAACACTGCAGTTTGGTTTAGAAAACAAGAGCCAAAGTGCCTTCCTTGCCCCCAACATCAGAAGGACACGGACCAGTTGGAGCGAGTCCAGAGGAGGCCATGGCGATGCTCCAAGGGCTGAATCCCCTCTGCTATGGGGACAGGCTGAGAGAGTTGGATGTGTTCATCCTGGAGAAGAGAAAGCTCCAGGGAGACCTTATAGCACCTTCCACTGCCTGGGGGGGCTACAAGGAAGCTGGGGGGGACTTTTTACAAGGGCCTGTAGTGACAGGACAAGGGGTAATGGGTTTAAATTGAAAGTGGGGAGGGTTAGATTGGATATCAGGAAGAAGTTCTTCCCAGAGAGGGTGGTGAAGCACTGGAACAGGTTGCCCAGAGAAGCTGTGGATGCCCCATCCCTGGAAGTGTTCAAGGCCAGGCTGGATGAGGCTTTGAGCAACCTGGTCTAGAGGTTGGAACTAGATGATCTTAAAGGTCCCTTCCAACCCAAACCATTCTACGATTCTAATAACTGGATATAAAAGAATAAGATACACAGTGTACAAGGCCACAAGGGCAGATGAAGCTGTTCCTTTCTGTCCATGAAACTATGGTGTACAGTTGAGAGTTAAGGATCTGTCATTGTGGATGTTGATGATTGTTCTTTTCTCCCGCCTCCCTTGCTTTTCTGCAGAAGTACCACCACGTGGTTTTTGGTACCACTGCCAGGCTGCTAGTAAGTATCAGTAGAGAAAAAGAATGGTATGCAAAGGTGTATAATTTTATACTGAGCTTATCTAATCCGTATACAAATGTTTTCGAAGTCTACAGTTTCTATTTCTGGGAACTTGTCAAGCTTTGAAGAGAAAGGGGTGGCAAGAGCAGCTTGTTGCAGGCACCTTTTATATGTTTTGTTATGTGTTTCCTTTTATGTGTTTTCAGATGGCAGAACACTTCACCCAAAATGGTTTTGTCAATGGCAGTGTTATTTGTATTCTGTCTTCCTATTTTAATTCAATAACTACTCAGCTTCTTAAATGGGACACCTTTGGACAGCTTTAAAGGCTTTCAAGCCCATCTGAGCAGACTGTTCTTCCCTTGATAGTCCTTGTCTATGTCTTCAGCATGAAGTGCTAATTCATAACAGGGTAACTTAAAGAGACTGGTCCGTATTGGGAAGTTGTGTTTTGCAGCTTTACATGTATCAGTGAAGTTGAAGTATTTATACTGCTGTTGTGTCTGGCTTGGCCTGCCTTGTTTCCCTTCTGACTCTTAAGCAGTGTTTATAGATTCCAGTTTGTTTCTATTGGGACACTTCCTCCCCTTGTGTACAGAGGGAACAAACTTGGCCCATGTTTTCTTACGTGAAATACTTAGGTAATGGATTTTTGAAAGGGATAAGCGTGCGTGCGTCTACTCACAGCCCAGCCCCGCCAGTCTTTTGCTGACGGAAGTGAGGTTTTGATAGCTTTAATCACAGGCGCTGCCTGTAGAGAAGAGAAGGGAGTGTGTGTATTTATGTATACGTGTAGAAAAAGATACCAGTTAGGGGAGAATTGTATCATTTAAGGAAACAGGACTTCTCATAACTTTGTGTTTTTTCTGCCTTCCCTTCACTAGGTGATGCCACTCATAAGATCCCTATATCTGGATTTCATCTTTCACGTACTTCTTACGCAGTTGTCTTAAGTGAACTTCTTGACTTTGTCCAGCTAGCCAGTGGTGCTCAGCCTCGATTTTACTGCAGGGTAGGGTCAAGGTCAAAGTGAGATGCTCTAAAGCAAAACCTCTAATTTCGCTTCTCATGGATGACTAAGGAGATACTTTACTCTAAAACCTAAGCAGTGTGTAAATGAGTGGGAAAAGACACTCTCTTCCAAAGTAGCCCCATTCCATGCAGGAAGAAATAGCCCGTAAAAGCTAACCTTTTTATGAAGCTGAGACCTGATTTTTCAGCCTGCATTTTGGGCTGTGGTCAACTGATGAACACTTCAGTTGGTCTCTAGAACGGTTTTGACTAAATGCCTTTGAGATTGACTTAAATGGATTGTGCTGAATAGTAGTCACACAGTCCTGCTTTTCTAAGGGTTGTTTATATGTTTTTGTGGCTCTTTCCCCACGTGAATACGGTACATCTTAAATGAAACTCGAGGAAAAATTTGCCAATGAGCAAAACAAAGTCTTAGGGTTTGGAGGCGTTTAGGCTTCATGACAGTGGCACTGTATTTTGATTCCATTCGAGCCTAACATTAACCCTTTAAAAGGTGGTATGGGTCAAGATCTTGGGCTCCATCCATAAATGGGCTCTGAAGAAATACAGATGAATAAAACATTTTGTAGCACTTAGTGGAGATTATCTGTAGTATGGATTAACCTTTAACCTGTCCCCAAACGTTAGTCCAGAATTTCTCCTGGTGTATGGTTGGAGAGCCTCCATGGCATTTGGTTCCTCTTCAAGATGGTTTTCAGGAAGAGTGTATATTCGGTCCCACAGACACTGAGTTTTGTTCTGGAGGTGACTTTCTCAGACGTAGTCAGGAGTCTTGCAGATGTTAGAATTATATGCTCTACTTCTCCAATTTGACTGAAATTTTCTTTCCTCTAGTCTCGTGACAGATTCCAAATCAGCTGGTGTCTCAGTCGAATGGCCAGCATAACAGGTGGGAAATGCATACTTTTTAGCCTCCCTTTCCTCCCTGCCTCAAAAAGTGTTATGTAATCACGGACAGCTGTATTTGTCCGAAGATCTTTGGGTCTCAAAGGTTTCATAAAAGCTGTTACTGATAGCTAGAACTACTTTGTGTGCTTCTCCCTCCTCTTCTTCCTCCAGTGAACTGGCTAGTGAGCACATCCGTAGAATAGCATACACTTTCTTGCTCAGCCAAGTAAAGGAGCGCTAGAGGCAGTGAGATTACTGTGAAGGTGATCTTATGGAAACACTAGAACACTAACAGCTTCCGAGGAGAGATGGCTTGCAAGTAGGATATGTAATTACTGAGGTGGAGAAAATGATGGGAATGTAAGGACCCGCTTTGCTGGGAAGCCCGGTTTTATTAAAACCGCTGGTGGAATAACTTGCTAAGGTTTACAAGAGCTTTGGTGCTCTGGTAAGAGGCTGGGCAATGACAAGGGACTGAGAAATGGGCCAAGCAGAATATTCACTGTCTCTCTTGTTCTCCTGGCCTGGATTTTCTCTGAGCGATAGGCCTTGAGAGCCGTCTGGAGCTTCTTGCTGTAGAAGACCTGGTAGTAGAACTCTACCAGAAGAAGTACAAAAAGGAGCCGTCCAAGACTTGGGTGTGTAGAGAACTGGATGTCTGCCTGTGGGATTTCTCTAGTAATACCAGGTATGTTGGGTGGTTCTTTGTGGAATCGTGTTAGCCTGATGCATCTGAGCCGGCAGTGTGCGCTGGCAGCCCAGAAGGCCAACCGTATCCTGGGCTGTATCTGGAGAGGTGTGGGCAGCAGCGGAGAGGTGTGTGTCCAGCAGGACGAGGGAGGGGATTCTGCCCCTCTACTCTGCTCTGGTGAGACCCCACCTGGAGTGCTGCATCCAGCTGTGGAGCCCTCAATATCAGAAGGATATTGACCACTTGGAGCGAGTCCAGAGGAGGGCCACGAAGATGATCAGAGGGCTGGAGCACCTCTCCTATGACGAAAGGCTGCGAGAACTGGGCTTGTTCAGCCTGGAGAAGAGGAGGCTCCGAGGAGACCTCATTGCAGCTTTACAGTATCTGACGGGGGCCTGCAAGGGTACTGGGAGAGGACTTTTTACAAGAGCCTGTAGTGATAGGACAAGGGGTAATGGGTATAAATTGAAATCAGGGAGGTTTAGATTAGATGTCAGGAAGAAATTAATCTCAGGTTGCCCAGAGATGTTGTGGATGCCCCATCCCTGGATGTCTTCAAGGCCAGGCTGGATGTGGCTTTGAGCGGCCTGGTCTGGTGCAAGGTGTCCCTGCCCATGGTGGGGGGGTTGGAACTAGATGATCTTTAAGGTCCCTTCCAACCCAAACCATTCTATGATTCTATGATCTTGGTGCGCGACGTGCAGTTTGTATGCTGCTAGGCTAGAATGGTCTGCAAGCCTTCTGTTCAGAAATGCTGCTTCTCACAGAGTGACTACAAGTGGAAATGGAAAATACTTTCCCCAGAGCAGTGTAAAGGCAGATGGCTTTTTAATGTTGAGTCTGAGGCCTAATTTAAAGGAGGGGGTAAAAAAATGGGAATAAAATATGTTGTAGTATGTAACTGGAAATCGTAGAAATGAGAAGATTCAGACTCTTGGAAGTGTGATTTGGATGGGACCTGGCTGTTGCTATACATTAAATGCCTGATGCTGCTACTGTGATGAGGGACAAGGTATGTTTGCCTGTGGTATAAATCAAGTCCTCAGGTCTAATGTTAAGCTAGATCCTATCTTTTTTTCTTCTGGAGTGAATGTTCTTTGTAACACATCTGGAATCCTCTTTATTTCATAGGTTTTTTCCCCTCCCACCTTCTTTTCCACCCCCTCAACCCCCCCAATGTGTCTTGAATGGTTAAGCTTTTCCTGCTTTCAGATTCTTCCGTATTTGTACAAAGAAGTGTTACATAGTTTGTGGTGTTGCAGGGGAATATTCAGTGATGATGCAATTAATTTAAAAATAAACTTTTCGTCTGCTGCTGTTTTAAGCAAGAGCCAATAATTTGATATTAAATTTTAGTGGATTTTTTAAAAAAAAATTATTATTCTTGGAAGTCTGCTTACAGTACGGATTTTAAGTTCCGTTGGGATAATCAGTGTCACTTCATCTTTTTTATAGTCAGGCAATTTTCCATTTCCATGAGTGTCTTCACACTAGAGGGAGACCTTAACCAGAATGGAAAAATGTACTTTAAAACAAACATTTGGAGAGGAAAGTGGGGATGCTTACACTAAGAGGAACTATTTCACATGAATGGGAAACTTCAAATTGTTACCTCCAAATTCCATTTGCCTCTTAGGATGCTCTTTTCTCCCTTCCCCCAGCTCAGTGTGAAGCAGGTTGCCTGTAAAGCATGCCTTTGAACTCTGCATAAACCACTTAGAGCTTAGCGTTGAACCTTGGTCCTCTGTGAAACTTTGAAGGGACTGCGTGATCATTGAGACAAAAAGATTACATCCGTAATGGTTGTTCCTGTTCCTTCTGACCAGACCAACTGCTTAATGTTGATTAGAGATGTAATGCTTCTGGAATTAACTTGAACTTCGCTTAATGTAGGTGCAAGTGGCATGAAGAGAATGATACGCTCTGCTGTGCTTTGTCGTCCTGCAAGAAAATTGCGTGAGTACTGCTAAGGAAGTATCTCTGGTGTGATGACTTTCTGTTTTGTTATAGAGGCACATTTTTGGCTCTGGCTTCTCTGACTGCCTGGAGCACTGTAGTTCTAGACCTTGAGTTTTATTTATTCCTTCCACTGCCAAGATTTTGTTCTATTTGTAACTTTCATTGTTGTTTGTAGGGCTTAGCAGTATGCTGTAAGTCTTAGGACTCAGATATGATGTCCATCTGTCTGTAGCCATCCTTTCACTAACTCCGCTTACTGTTGGAGAGCTGAGAGAAGTGTTAATTCTATTAGAATTCACTGCTTATTTTTTTTTCTTCAGAGGTTTAGTTTACATGAGTTTGAGAAATTCTCAGTACATTCTGGTACACCTCTGCTTTGGAGACTTTTATACTGTCTTACATATCACAGAACCTTATGTATCTACATTATCTTTTTGGTGTGGGAAAAGGGGAAATAAGTAGTTGGGAAACAAGGAAATGACGTTTAAGATTTCAGTCAGTAGTAGTAGAACTTTGGGAGTGATAATAAATAGTCTTTCTTTCAAAACCCCCTTGTTATGTACTGCTATGCCTTGCAAAAGAAATGTTGCTCTTCATGCTTCTGAGTGGCCGCATTTGATAGCGTGGGGAAGCAGTTTTCATTTCACATGTAGCTGTAGAACAGCCTGGTGGCTGTGGAATGATGCAGAGTAACTACTGAGCTGCTGCGACAATGTCCTTCTGCTCTCTGCCATCCGCTCTGTGCATCTTGGTCAGTGGTTGCTATTGTTTGCCAGTCGGATGCCTGAAAATGCTGTGCTTCCACACCTAAACATGCCAAACCCTTGTTTTCTTTTTTCTCTTGGTCAAGCTACTGCATCAGTAAATCTTTAGCTAGTTTGTATGGAGTCTCGCTGACAGCAGCTCACCTGCCCGTTCAAGACTGTGGTTATGGTGAAGGCAAAAGTACCAATATGGTGATACTGGATGCTGGACGTTTTCAGGTCAGATTCTTTAAACTGGTATCCTGTTTTATTTCTGGCTAACTCAAGCGTTCAAACTTGCCGATTTCAGGTTAGCTGTTCTCTCTTTGGATGCTGTCTTTTACGACATAAATTGGACAAAATAATGAAAGAAAAACAATCACTAGCTGGGTTATTTCTTGTGGGTTTTGACCTTAATTTGTAGGTTTCATGGATAACTCTGTATACTGCATTTTAAAAGAAACATGTTATTTTGCATGTTTATTTCTTCATACAGAAAATGAAGGCTGGGGGTTCTGGATGTGACAGATACTTCGCTTCTTCAAGTCAGGATTGAGAGCTTGACCCCTCTAAATGTGAGTTTGAATCTTTCACATTTGTAAGGGGAAAGAGGTTTTTAACTTAATGCAATTTCTGCTTTTTCAAATTTCTGGCCTTAGATTCTTGCCTGTCAGTGGCATAAAGCCTAAGCAGCTTTGCATGAGCTGTGCTTATTCCTACATGTGGGTTTCACTGAATTTTGTAAGTCTTAAATGTGAAGAGCTGCCCTTCTCTTACTGGACACAATCTTATGGTCGAAAAGGTCTCTCAGAATTTAGTTTTGCTTATAAATGTTTCTCTCTGATTTATGTCCTTTATTTTTCTGCTACATGAAATTAGTTCTCATATGCTTAGGTGCTTTGGGGCAGGGCCATCTTTAAAATACTGTCCTTGCTCTGAAGTCATTACACATCCAAATTCAGCTGGTACTTGTTGCAAGTATTCTGCTGTATCTCAGTTTATAAAGACTGGTGGATTAAACTCTTCTTTTTGGAGATGTTATTTTTTTAATAGAAGGCACGTGATCTCAGTTTGTCTAGGCTGTTCATGGCTGATTTTCAGAGGAGTAGAATTAAGTTTGCAAGACACATAACTGTAAGAATTATGAGTCTGCAGCTTTTTTCTTGCATGTAAAATACATGCTGAATTCAACTCTGAAACCAGTCCAGTTATAAATCATGAGGTCTTACCGTCTTGGTGTTTGTCGAGGACACAAACCCTGTCTCTGACTTTGTATTAGAGCTGTTGAAGAGGATCAGCTCTGCAGCATATGAAGAATGATGCCATTAATTTATGCAAGTTTTAAAGGCTGATTTGACTTGCAAACTGTTTAATTTAATAGGTGATTCTCCGTGTGGTGCGAAGACTTCCCTTTATGGAAGTACCATGCAAGGAAGAGGAATTACTCGATTGCTGGAAAGTGCATCTGATCTGTCCGTCTTTCAGTAATTGAAAAGATTTTTTACATCCCAGACAGCTGTAAATTCTGATTGTTCCTTGTTTCCCTAAGATTACCAGCAGTTTCTCCAGACTGCAGTTTTTCATCTTATGTGCAACGCTTGACAGTTCAAGTTCTTGTTAGAATGGTAAAACTATTGACTGGGTTTAAAGAAGACAAAAATCCTGTTTATTATCTCCAGGAAGACTTATTTTGAAGGGACCTGACAGTTGCATCCTCTCTTTAAAAACATGTGCCATACTTGTTCTGTTTTGTAATGGGTGGAGTGCAAATCCAAGATCGATTAGTTAATATCATTGTATTAGAATAATTCTTTAGTGGCCAGTGTGATTTTAAACAAATGCTTTATTTCTTCTATAATAAGCTCCTTCCCCCCTTCTGCATGTGGAAGGTAGAATTTCAGTGCATAACAGTCTTTCCCCAAAACATGATGGGGGGGAGCTTTGAAGGTATGAAGGGCTGTGCTAGGAGAATGAAAGGTGTAACCGTCTGGAAGGTGTGCTACAATCGGTTAGTCTAGCCATGAAGAATCTGAGTGGTCATTCCAGGCAAAAAAGCTGACTTTCCATAAAATGTCTTGAAAGAAATGTGGTGGCACATTTATCCATCTGTTCGTGTTCATTAGAGGCACAGGCTATATACATCAGGAACAAGTACAACATGGACTTTTTTTTTTGTTTAAAAAAAAAAAATGCCTGTCCCTCAAGCCTACAGACTGAAGAGGAGTGTAGGTGTTACGGGTTATTTTGAAAGGAATATAAAATTCAAACTGATATATTAATCTGCAGATATAATTCCACAAGTTTGGTTAGACTGGGTAGATACCAGTCATAATTACTTGAGGGCACATAAAAACTGGGAGGATGTCTGACATATCATTAGGAAGTTAGTTGTTCTGTTTTGTGGAAGTACAAGGCTTGGACTAGTCCCCAAGAAGTTGTCTGAGCCTCGTCCTTAGTCCATGTGTCTTTAAGCAACCGATTTTCAGAAAGAAGAGCTTATTTTTTTTTGAGTTGTTTCTGCATTTTGTTCCAGCAGAGTTTCAGTTGTGAAATACTATTTCCATAGCAACTAACTGTGAGAAGACACTTCATTCCTTGTACGAGCTGAAACTCAAAATCTGGTATCTTTCGGGTAATAGGAAAGAAACCCCCTCAACCCAAAATCCAACCAAAATAAGAGGTCAGCACACTTACGAATAAACTCGAGCGTGCTGATCGGTGTGTCAGAAAAGGCCAGTTGCTGGATTAGTTGAAAACCTGTTACAGTTGCTGTTAAGGCCCTTCTTCCAGTACTGCAGGGTCACTGCACCATTTTGATGCCCGTTACTTAACAGTTTGCTTGTATCACTGAATTGTCTTGAATTATTCTGTCTGTCCTTCCACTGAGGCTGCTGTTCTACCTGCTAACTGTCACCAGGCAGGGGACAATAAACCCTTAAGACTGAGATGTACCAATGAAGCATCTGAGAACGTTGTAACGGGGTCAGGGTCTCTCTTCAGTAGCGGTAAAGGCTTCTCTTCATTGGAAGAGAGGTGTTTGAGTTTCTTGTTAATACAGCAGTGGCTGTCAGTTATTTCACAATATACAGAACTGTAGTCTTTGACTTATTTTCGGAGGTCAGCATTGCAATTAAAAGTTTCATGTTTCTGTTCTTAGGAAGAGAGAATTCATTATTAGAATATTCAGTGTCAGTATAAACACAAATCTAAGAGCATTTGTCACTGTGTTTTAAGGTATTGTATATCCTCAAGACTGAGGTAAAGAATCTGAGCAGAAATGGAGAAATACAGAGTTAGGGTTCCATGGGATGTCGGTGCCTTATCACCTATAACTTAAAATAGTACATAAGCTGCAGAAGACCTAGTTATGTGTTGTAGGCAGTGGGGTGTTAGCTAGAGCAGTAACTGTCTCACTGCAATAACAACCTGCGGTGGGTTTTGTAGTGAAAACTCCTAAGATCTATGCAATGAGTACACTAACTTGGTGTAGCCCATTTGATACTGTTATTCTGGCTATGTTGAGGGGGTATTGGAGGATGATTAAAACTTTCTTTTCATTTGGGAGCTCTGCTTCCCTGTATGTTTTGCAATTTGAAACAGATTCCTTGGAAAAAAAATAAATTCTGCTTAATAAACACAATACAGTAATCCTTCTGTCCTTTAATGGAAAAGTGAAGGTGAGGGAAAGATGGTGACTTGCAACCTTAGCACACTTCAGCGCAAGAAATAGTACTAGTAAGGTAAAAATCAGAATAAAATTCTCCCCCGCTTGCATGACAAAATTCTCAAGCGGAAATAAAACCAAGTCAAGGGAGAATGGCTCTTCAGCAGAGTTGGAGTGATGCAGCCTGGGAGCTTCAAGCACGTACTATCAACAAGGTAAAAAGTAACAGTAACTTAATACTCTCTGCATATGGATATTTAGGTACAGTATAAATTGAACTCTCTGAAGGCTTGGTTGTGTAGAGGAAGCATCAAACAGATCCTGTCAGAACTTTCTGTCCTCCTATTGGTGTAGCTTACCTGGTCCTGTGACAGTAATGGGCCAGAGTCATCCTGGTTTAGATACACATTAGAGGGTTAATAGGTTTTTTTTGTTCTTCTTACAGGAGTAAGTAGTCACGTTGTTGAATTGTGTGTTACTACCGTCTACTGTACGGGTTTTGGCTAGGAGAACAGTTGCCCGAGGGCCATGAAAACACAAAGTTGTGGTGACAACTTTGCTGGCCTGGTCTGTGACATCGGTGTGTTAACCTGTAAGCACATATTCTTTTACGTTCTATTCAAAGAGCATGTAAAATACTGATACTGGAAAAATAAAGCGTGTTCATGTAGACTAAGCAGCAGTTACTGCTTCTGTGTAGTGGAAACTATTCATGTGACTGTCCACCTTGTCCACCTTCTTTTAATAATCTGTAGAAACTAGATATGCGAAAGAAGTTCTGCTGACCGCTGTCTCTGCTCCACCTGAGAATACTCTTGTCAATACCTTGTATTCTGATTTAGCAGAATTACTTGCTTTATCTACAGTATATAGATATGTATTTGAGTAACACCTGGTTTCGATGCCTCCAATCTGACATTTCTCCTGGGAGGCTGATCGTACCATTAAAGGTCAAGGTGAAGCAGTCCCTCGACCTTCTCCTTGTCCATCCTGACCACGTCCCCATTGCCACTCAGATGCACCCACAGAAGTCTGTGTTGCCCTTCGTATGCTTCACCGGACTTAGCTCTGGGGAGGCTTTGGCTTTCCTAACCCTGTACCTGCCAACTCTCACAGCACCTCTGTATTTCTCCCAGATCACTTGTTGCTGCTGCTACCTCCTGCATGTTCTTTTATGTCTGGGTTTTGTCAGGAGCTCTTTGGTCAACTTCTGCTTGTTTTCCTGTTTATCTCGGAGGAGGTGATACTTTAAAAAAATCAAAAAGCCCACCTGGACCCCTCTGCCACGAGATTCTTCCAAGCAGATCTCTGAACAGAACAGAGCCTGCTCTCTTGGGGTCTGAGGTTGTGCTCCTGCTCTTTGCTTTTTTCCTTCCTCTTCCACTGTCTCATGGCTGCTGATGCTGAGTTTGCCCCGCAGCGTTCACATCCCCGACCAGCTGTTCCTTTTAGTATGAGGTGCAGGAGAGAGCACCTCCTCTCCTCAGCTCCTCAGTCGCTTGTATCAGGAGTGTCAGGCTGCTTCCACTTGCCTGCAGAAGGCCTTGTGTACTTCCTCCTGAGGAGGCTGCCTGCAGCAGGCATCCACTGGAATGTCCCCCGTGTTGGGCAGCCCTCTGTGTCTAACCTCTGTGCTCCCTTGTTGTCCATCCCCATCCTCTGTGCACTCTAGCTGCCCTCTCACAAAAAGGGCAATGCTGTCGCCTCCCAAGCGTGAGAAGACAAGTGGTATGTGGGAAGGGAAGCCTAGTAATGTCTCTGCTTGCGAGGCCTGTGGGCTTAGCACTTGTGCCAGTTTCAGGGCCTGCATTACAACTAGTGATCAAAGAGAGTGTTTGCTGTGTCTAAGATTAATTTTTTTTACATCTTTAGCAATATGTCAGTCATCAAAATCTTAAAAGCTAGAACAAAGGCAGTAATTTGGTGGGGGGTTTCTGGGTGGAGAGTCTGTCAAGTATTACATGTTGGATTTTGCCGTTTGGGTGCACGTCAGTCTGGAGGAAGCAGTGCTGTAATCCTTGATCAAACGGCACAGTCGGTACTCGTGCCGCTGGCTGCGCTCTTTGCCAGCTACCTGGAGTGAGGTCTGTGCTGGGTCGTACCTAAATAGGAAACTTGCTTCCGCTGCAGGGGCTCTGGGTCTTGAGCCATCCCTGTCAGACGGCGTTGTGCTGAAGGTCAGCTTCTCCCCGGTGAAAATTGGTGTTGGGTGAATGAAAACCTGTAGTCAAGGAAGTCCTGCCTGCCTTTCCTTGCACAAATAGCTGTAGCTTTCTGTTCCTGATACGTTTTTAATACAGAGGGGCTGTGCTTTGTGACCTGTCAGTTGAATTAAAAAGTGCTAATCCTTTCCCTTAGCAAGCATTTCAAACCTTCCCCAAAGGTTAGGTGACTCAAGTGTATATGTGGAACTGAGTTTCTGATTTCTGGCTGATAGATGGAGGTATCTGACTGCAAGGGCTTCAGCAGCATATTTCCATTTGGTAGAGTAAATGCCCCACTGCAGCCCATGGGAATAACAAGTTTGTTGTGTAGTTTCTGCCCTCTTGATGTTTTCTGCAGGATTATCATCCCTCACTGGGACCCTAGAATGAGCTGCCAATTAATCTTTATTGCAATGATTCAGTAGAAGGAAGGAATCGGCAAACACTTCTATTAGCCTAACCCTGTATTATCTATGTTCCCTCACTTTTCCTTGATTCTGTCTCAGAAGCTCCCACAACCTTCTCTAATTACCATTTTGAAATAATTTCCCTCTCTCCCTAGTGAACAGGTGAAAGGCAGGAGAGAGAACTTCCAAATTCCCTTATGCTGGGCTGTAATA